CTCTCTCGCAGATCTCCACCATTTTAGAAAACACTTGCTAGTAATTAACATTGGGGAAAAAAATAAGATCTTGATATTTTCTAACAGAGGCTGCAATTCAGTTTTTTTCACATTAGAAAAAGAGTTTCAGAAATGTCACATAATAGAAAAAATAAGAAACCTAAGAAATGAGATGTACGCAACCTAAGGGACAAAGAGCTTGCCAAGAGGAGAAAAGTAAAGAAAATCTAGGGCATATGTGATCAAGATTCATTTTGTAAAATTCAAGAAAACTAAGCTTTAATAGAATTCTATTGATATAAAAGAAAAACCTTCTTAAAATTACTATTCACTGAAAAGACTGAGAAAACTAAGCACTGATCAAAGAGAACTTTAAAACCAATAAAAGAATCAAACCTCACCTGAACAAGGGAGTCTCCCTCTTTACAAAAACCTGAATCTTCCTGAGTCAGAAGAGGCTCGCTTTTCTCACAGCTCTCCTGGCTGAGAAGCGTGTCCGCGTAGTTGGGCTGGGGGAAGATCAGGTGACTCTTCCGCGAGTCCGCGGTGAGGGAGACCTCGTGGGAATAGGTCTGCAGGAAAGCGCGCACCCCGTCCACGCCCACGAAGTGCGAGGCGGGCACGCCCACCAACGCGCCTCCTGAAGCCTGGAGCAGGCGTAACGTGTGCCAGCGCCGCAGTCTGAGGGCCAGCAACACAATGACAAAGGCAAGGAAGACGCAGGAGACCACAGCCACTGCCACCACCAAGTACAGCGTGAGGCCTGAGGCATCAGAGTTGTTCTGGACCTCTAGGCTGCCCAGATCAGCCAGGACATCTGGGATGCTGTCAGCCACAGCCACGGTGAGAGTCACAGTGGCTGAGAGGGGGGGCTGGCCATGGTCCTGGACGGCCACCACCAGGCTCTGCTTGAGTGCGTCTCTGTCCAGAAGGGCCCGTGCCGTGCGCACCTCACCCGTGTGCAGCCCCACGGTGAAAAGCCCTGGCTCACTGGCCTTGAGCAGGTGGTAGGACAGCCAGGCGTTCTGGCCTGAGTCTCTGTCCACTGCCACCACTTTCGTCACCAGGTAGCCAGGCTCTGCAGAGCGAGGTGCCAGCTCCACGCCTGTGGAACCGTCAGTGGGGAGTGAGGGGTACAGGATCTCTGGTGGGTTGTCATTCTGGTCAAGCACGAATATGCTCAGTGACACGTTGCTGCTGAGTGGTGGGTCCCCACCGTCATGTGCAATCACTCTCAGTTGCAGATCACGGAACTGTTCATAGTCGAAGGAGTGCAGTGCATACAGGATGCCTGTGTCAGAGTTGATGGAAACATAGGAGGATAGAGGCACACCCTGGATGGTGTCTTCAGGCAGTGAGTAGGTGACCCGTGCATTCTCATCACTGTCGGGGTCGTGTGCAGTCAGAGAGAAGATGGAGGCACCTCTGGGGTTGTTCTCAGGGACATAGACAGAGTAGGAGGAGTGGGGAAAGGCCGGTGGGTTGTCGTTGGTATCTGCCACATCTAGGGAGATGAGCATTTCTGTAGACAGAGGTGGCATTCCTTTGTCTGTGGCTGTCACAGTGATGTTGTACAAGGATACTTGTTCTCGATCTAGTTCTATATTGGTCACTAGTCGATAATAATTGTCTACTGATTTTTCCAATTCAAATGGCAGATTTCCCGAGATGGAACATGTTACCAGGCCATTCAGCCCTGAATCTCGATCATATACTTGAAAAAGAGTGATTACTGTTCCTGGAGGCACACTTTCAGCAACTGATCTGCTTCCAGATGTTACTACCACTTCTGGTACATTATCGTTCACATCCAAGATAGTTACTAAGACTTTTGCTCTGTCTTGTAGACCTGGCCCATCCCGGGCTTCAACATCCAGCTCATAAAAGCTCGAGTCCTCATAGTCTAGATTTGCGGAAGTTGATATTTCTCCAGTCAAAGCATTCAAGCAGAAAATCTTGGAGATCTTTTCTGTTATCCTCACGAAGGAATATGTTATTTCTGCGTAGATTCCTTCATCCTGGTCGGTGGCATTTACCGACAACACTGGCGTACCTACTGGCAGATTTTCAGGAACACTCACACGGTAAATAGGCTGAGTAAACACTGGAGGATTGTCATTCGCATCTAGGACAGTCACCAGAATTCGTGCCATGCTTGAGCGGACAGGGTCACCGCCATCCATGGCAGTAAGGACCAGGTGGTGAATGGCCTCTCTTTCCCGGTCCAGGGCATGTTCCAGCACCAGCTCCGGATATTTGGGCCCATCGGCTTTGCTCAGCACATTCACTGAGAAGTGACTATTCCCGCTGAGCTCGAAGCCCTGAAGAGAGTTCATTCCCACATCTGGGTCATAGACCTCCATTAGTGGAAAACGAGAGGATGGGGCTGCGTTTTCGGAAATTTTCACTTCCAATTCTTCCCTTAAGAATCGGGGTGTATTGTCATTAATGTCCATTATTTCCACTTCTATGGGATAAAGATTCAGTTTATCCTCAAGGAGGATGTTAAAACTCACCAGGCACCGCGCGCTCTGAGCGCAAAGCTCCTCCCGGTCTATCCTGTCAGCGGTGATCAAGCTGCCGCTTCGCGGATTCAGAGCGAAAAGCTGCGTCCTATCTCTGGAGACAATGCGGAGTCCGCGCTCCGCCAGCTCCCGGGGCTCCAGCCCGAGATCCTTGGCAATGTTGCCTACGAAGGAGCCTTTGTTCAGCTCCTCAGGAATGGAGTAACGGATCGGTCCAGCCCCGGCCCCCGACAACGTCTCCAGGAGCATGAAGAGCACGACTAACCCGCGGCGGTGCTGGCGCCTTTGCAGCGCCGCCATTATTCGCTTGTTATGGACTTACCTGGATTGTGAATAGGGGGAACAAGTTCGCATCACTTTGGGGCTTCTCAGAATTAGAAGTCAAGGTCCATAAACAAGCAGAGATAAGATGCGAAGCATTTTAGGTCAGAATTTCTGCGCAGCTGGAGAGCTTTCGTGTCTAGTCTGCTTTGTGCTTGGAGGATCAAACTCGAGTTCTCATTGCTTTCCTTACCCGGGTTAGTGAACAGCGACGCTTAGAGTCCTAACTTAATATTGCACTGTTTTGTGAAACCATCATACGTAGGATCTTATTTCTGCTAAATCTGCATAGATAACACACATAATATTTCTCTCCCCAAGAATGAGAAGCATTTGGAAGAATAAAAGAGGTGTTTTGAATAATTTTATATGTCCCCTGGGATTTACCATTCATTTTTGTGACAATATCTTTTAGGGCCTTGGATAACAGAAATAATATTACACTTTTCTGTGAATCTTGAATTATCACACTTCATCATCATTTATATTTGTCCTATTTTCAACAAGGGCACCAATCACCCATATATTTGGAACCAATCCACTAGTGCCAGTTACAAGTGTCACCATAGTTAGATGTGATTATTTTTATTAACATATAAAGAACTGCCCTAATTTGGTAAGTATTTGTGTATACTTTTAAAAACATGCAAAAGAAGTGAAAATATATAGGCTACAATGAAAACATTTTTATATTTATATTATATGTAATAGTTTAGGATTGACTGCATTGAAAGCAAGTAAATCACTTAATTGTCTAGATTTGCGCTTAATTATATATAGATAATATGTCTCACAATGAGAGTGTGACATACTAATGTATTAAAAACGTTTCAGGGTATATTTCCTTTAGGATTAAAAAATTTCAAGACCATCACAACATGACTTTCTATAAAAGAACAACTGCAACATAGGTAAGCGATCAAAGAATTTTTAACACCCCTCCATTCTATACCCAGAAAAAGTCAATAAAAACCAATAAAATCAGGGCATTTTTGGCCTGTATACTTTTTCCCTCTAAGATAATGAATTGAAACCTATTCATACTCAAGGGAGGAAAGAGTTTTGAAGTAACTCACCTGTTGCAAATTGACTGAATTAGAAGTCATTTGGGGATTGTCATTAATGGTACTTTCAAACCAGGAGGTTTCATTACACAGAAGATCTTGTGCTGGAGCATTTTCAGGCTTTATATTGCGAAATTTAAACTCAGTCTTTGAGGAATGAGAGGCAGCACATAGATTGTAGGAATAGGGCAAAGTCCCTTGGCTAAAGTTGGGGAGAACTTCAGGTTCCGTCTTGGAGCAGACACCAGGCTGAAAGCAGCCCCAGGCGGCGGGGCTGGAGGAGCGTCGCAGGCGCAGGGCAATGGCCAGAATCACCGCGAGCAGGAAGAGCACGGAGATCAAGGCCAAGGCCACCACCAGGTAAAACTGCAGCTCAGCCTGGGGCTCAGAGGGTGCAGGATGGTCGCCGAGGTCCGGCAGTGCCTCTTGTAGGCTGTCTGCGAAGACCAGGAGCAGCGTGGCGGTGGCCGAGAGGGGCGGCTGTCCCCCGTCCCGCACGGCGACCAGCAGGCGCTGGCGGGCCGCGTCCCTGTCGCCCAAAGCACGCGCCGTGCGCACCTCGCCCGTGCGCAGCCCCAGGCTGAAGAGTCCGGGCTCGCTGGCCTGCAGCACGTGGTAGGACAGCCAGGCGTTGTGTCCCGAGTCGGCGTCCACCGCCACCACCTTGGTGACCAGGTAGCCGGGCTGCGCGGCGCGCGGCACCGTGTCGAAGAGCGCCGAGCCGTCGGGCCCCAGCGCCGGGTACAGCACCCTTGGCGCGTTGTCGTTGCGGTCGCCCACCAGCACGCGCAGGCTCGCGTTGGCGCTGAGCGCCGGCGAGCCCTGGTCGCGGGCCTGCAGCGTCAGCTCGAAGGCGCGCAGCTGCTCGTGGTCGAAGGCGCGCTGCGCGAACACCACCCCGCTCTGCGCGCTCACCGACACGTAGGACGACAGCGCCCGCGGCTCTAGGTCGCTGGCCACGATGGAGTAGGAGACGCGGCCGTTGGGTCCCAGGTCGGGATCCGAGGCCCTGACTTGGGCGATGGAGGCGCCGGGAGGGTTGTTCTCAGCCACGTGGACCACGTAAGAGGCCTGTTGGAAAACTGGAGCGTTGTCGTTGACGTCAGCGATGTTCAAGATGACACTTCTGTTGGAGGAGAGGGGCGGCTTGCCCCTGTCGGTGGCTGTGATGGTGACATTGTACTCTGGAGTCTGCTCTCGATCTAGGGCTCCATCTGTCACCAACTTGTATGTATTTTTTGTGTCTTGAACTATTTTAAATGGGAACTTTCCATTTAGTCGGCATTGGATTTCCCCATTAAATCCAGAATCTAGATCACGTGTTTTGATCAGAGCAACAACAGTCCCTGGCTCAGCATCTTCTTGTATATGTTTAGATTCAGAATCCAGGGTTATTTCAGGAGCATTGTCATTTTCATCCAAAATATCTATTTGTACTTTACAATGGGCAGTGTGACGTCCACCGTCCTTTGCTTCCACCCCAATTGTGTAGCTCTCGCTCTCCTCAAAGTCCAGTCGTTTGCCAGTGGTGAGTTCACCAGTCTTACTGTCCAGCTTGAACAGTTGTCTCACTGCCTTACCGATGTTGATGAAAGCATAGGTGATCTCAGCATTGACGCCCTCATCAGAGTCAGTGGCGATCACTCTTAGCACAGAGGAGCCCACTGGCAGGTTCTCTGGCACACTGACCCTGTACATATCCTGGGTGAACACTGGGGGGTTATCATTTGCATCTGCCACAATTACCCTGATCTGGGTAGTACAGCTTCTGGCCGGCTGGCCCCCATCCACAGCGGTGAGGACCAGGTCGTGGCAGGACTGCTCTTCCCTGTCCAGGAGAGCCTTCACTACCAGTTCTGGGTACCTACTGCCATCTGGGTTCTCCTTCTGGATCAAAGAGAAGTGTGGGTCAGGGCTGAGGTAGTACTGCTGCAGGGAATTGACACCTACATCTGAATCTTGCGCGGATTCCAGGGCAAACGTGGCTCCAGTTGGGGCCAGTTCACTGATTTCCAGCTCGGTGATATTTTGGCTAAAGGTCGGTGGGTTGTCGTTTACATCCTGAATCTCCACATTTATATGAAAAAAGTTCAAAGGCTTTTCAGAGACCATTTCCAATTCCAGAACACACGTCGACTTCTTGCCACAAATCTGTTCTCGGTCTATACGATCGCTCACAAGTAAGTCCCCATTCTCCGTGCTCATTGTAAAGAATTTCTTCTCTGCACTAACCGGCAGGTTCCAAGCAGGCAAATCTCGCACACCAAGCCCCAGATCCTTGGCGAGGTTCCCCACCAGCGAGCCCCTAGCCAGCTCCTCGAGTATAGTGTAGCGGATTTGCTCCGACAGCGCCCGGCTGAACAAAGACAGGAGAAGGAGAAATGGCATTCGCCTCCACCCAGCCGGGCCTTTCAGTCCCAAGCGGTTTCCCATCCCCCCGTCTGCGCCTTTGCCCTTATGATTCCGAAGAGGTGCGATCGCTAAATGATCCTAAGAATTCTCTGAGCAGGAGCGACTCCTTGATTTGTCTTGCAGGCAGATTCTCCGATAGACATCTCCGCGGCAGGGAGCCGGAGAGAGAGTGCACAGTTCTCCGGATTCCGTGGTCCGCTGGGAATTCCTTTGCGTCGGGAGGAGCCGATGCTTCGCTCAGTACTAGCCAACAGCGGCACCCCGCGCCTCGGCTGCAGAACTGCAGTAGCCGGTACTAAATAGCTTTAAACACACAGGTGGCTAGAAGACAACTCTACTGTGTCCTGATAGACTCATTCTTCTCATTTTACAAGGATTTTAACATTTTAAATACTATATCTTCGCTCTGGCTTTCATTTCTTTGAACTTGAACTTTATTCATCCAAATAAAGTGATTTTTACTCATCAAAGAGCAGAAGTACCTCACTGAAGATCTTTATTGACATCGTTGTCCTTTTAGTTTCCATTTTCATAAAATGGTCATAATGACATCTTTCCTGCATATCTTCGTAGAACTGAGGACCAAATAAAATAATACGTAGAAAATGATACAAATGAATGACAGTGTTCGTCGTGGCAGAAAGTGTGATATGAAAATTCTTCAAATATCAGCTTGATATATATTGTTATTCCACTCTATTTCCTTTTCTTCAAACTTATAAAAGTTATAAATCTCATAGCTTTTAGTTTTACCATCTGTTTCACTTTCTTCTCTTATTTTTATTATCTTCTCCCCAAAATAATTGATAGGTAGCAAGGAGATTGGTTGTCCTCATAAAATAAAGGTATGGTAAGAAGCAAGACACTCTTCTCCTTAGTTTCCAAATGTCTACTTTTGATTAAATGACTATGATTAGAAAATCATTCCACTAGTTTTATTTTACACACTACATTACCATTGTCTTTAATTGTACTGTTTTTTTCTCAAGTAGCTTAACAGTGGTGAGTTATTTGGATTTGGGGGGGTGCAGTATGAGTCCTTATAATTATATATTCCAAAGAAAGCAATCTCTGTATCCACTTTTCCTTGGTCTCCAAGTTATTTTCTGATCATCTCAACTCTGTCACTGACACTCTTCCCCTGTCAATAAGCATGTCAATTTCCATGTTTCTGATAGATGTCTTACAGTTTTAATCTATTTCCAAACTAGAAATCTCCATAAAGAAATTGTTTTTTAACCTACATAATACATTGCCATGCTAAAACTTGGCAGGTGTGTAGCAATGCTGAACTCATAGTGCAATAGAATTAGAGCATCTTAAACTGCTCATTGTATCCAGATTCTAGACAGAAACTCAGTGGCATCTCTACTTTATGCAAATGTTAAAAACACTACTGACTCAAGTCTTTGCTCCAAAACAGGACTGAGCAAGTGCTTTTCCACCACTGTGTGAACAGTTCAGTCAGTACAGGAAATTTATCTTTTCAGAGCACATATGGAACAAAAGATTCAAATATTTAAAAGCATATACAGTAGCATATAGTATATACTGTCAGAGTGTGTAGACCAAGCACTTTATCTTGTAAAGTTCAAACTTCTATAGAAGTTTATAGAAGTTTAAAAGATATTTTTCCATTGTATGAAAAACTAACTCTGGATGCATACCCAAATCTATAACCTTTTCTTTAAAAAAAAAAAAGGAAAAATGAGTTTTCATGTAGGAGTGAATGATGTCAGTATCTATATACAGATTCTCTTGTTACTCTTTGGATGCATTCACTATTCAGTGAGTTTGCACATTTTACACTGAAATCAGAATTGTCCATATGTAAATATAATTGGATCCCCTTTAAATAAATGTTTAAAAAATTAAAATCAAGGTTCTAGGTTTTCAAATGTATGAATAAGCCTTTCATGTGGTTGAACAATGTAGCCTACTATCTCATTAATAATACTTTATTGCCATTTCCCCGACTTATTCATACTTTGCAGCTGATGTGCAAGTTGTTGAAAGTACAAAATTTGAAAAATTGGAAAATCTTTTAAAAAGAAGCATCTCAAAATTATCTTCATTTAAACCAGATGCGAAAGATGAATAGGGTAGTTCTTCCATTACACAACACATACTCATGAAATTTGAGACCCATAGACCAGAACTTCATTAAGAAAAATTTAAGATGAGCACATCCCTGAGAAATGAATTTTTAAATTTCAAGTCATTTTTAAGTTGAGTTGATTTTCAAATTACAAATCTTAGACTCTTGTAATAAAGCAGAATTGTACCTACACCTGCAAAAATGCAAGCATTCAGGTAGATATTGATTCTGAAAAGTGAAGGGGCTACCTGTAACAAGAAGATGCCAGGTGTATGGCATATTTGTATTTAATGAATGTAGCAGTATTTTATTCTTTGGAGATTTTTAACTGCATCACAGAATAAACCACAATTCTAAGGCTCCTCACTGATTCTTCTCTCAACAAATACACACGTCCAATAATGACATGGTTCAATCCAAACTTTCCAGATTTCAGAATGTCACAGATATCATCACTATAAGTTTAATTGACTTTTCTGATAGTTATCATGTAGAAGTTTTTCGTATTCTTCCACTGATTTATGCAAATACAATAAATTATTTCCTTATGCAAACAGTAGGTATACTAAAATATCAATGCTGCACAATATTCTCTCCAAAACATATTCAGTATTAGTGTTTAGGCAAATATTCAAAAGAGAACATTACATCTAACAATTTGGACTAATCAAACAACTCTCCTATTAACATAGCAACATTTCGAGCATAAGAAAGTCTTTGGGTAAGGTGATTATGTTTAACCACTTTTTTTTCCCTTCTTCTTCTCCCCAAAGCCCCCCAGTACATAGTTGTATGTTCCAGTTGTAGGTCATCTGGTTGTGGCATGTGGGATGCCACCTCAGCATGGCCTGATGAGCGGTGCCATGTCAGCACCCAAGACCCAAACCGGTGAAACCCTGGGCCGCCAAAGCGGAGCACATGAACTTAACCACTCGGCCACGGGACTGGCCCCTAACCATTTTCTTTTAAAGTAGTTGTTTCACTTAAGTCTATGGATATCAGCTAGATTTTCTAAAATATCCACGTGTTAAAAAAGAAGACATTAAACCCAAAATATAATTTGAAAGCAGACGGAGAAACCATCAATTATCATATTAAAGCAAGTTAATCTCTAAATGAAGCAAACAATGATTCACTATTTATATAATTAACAGATTTTGAATGTGGCAGAAAAATGATTGAGGAAACAAAGGAAGAAAATGCTTCAAGCATCCTTATTGAAAAAGAAAACTCACCTGAACAATGCCTAGTTCTTCTTCATTTGCATTTATCTTCTCAGGTATCAGAAGAGGCTCACTTTTCTCACAACTCTCTTCGCTAATGAGCATGTCCGCGTAGTTGGGCTGGGGGAAGATCAGGTGACTCTTCCGCGAGTCCGCAGTGAGGGAGACCTCGTGGGAATAGGTCTGCAGGAAAGCGCGCACCCCGTCCACGCCCAAAAAGTGCGAGGCGGGCACGCCCACCAACCCGCCTCCTGAAGCCTGGAGCAAGCGGGACCTGTGCCAGCGCCGCAGTCTGAGCGCCAGCAGCACGATGACAAAGGCGAGGAAGACGCAGGAGACAGCAGCCACCGCCACCACCAAGTACAGGGTGAGGCTGGAGTTGTCAGGATTGGCTGAGGGCTCCAGGCTTCCCAGGTCCGCGAGGACATCTGGGATGTTGTCAGCAATGGCGACAGTAAGCGTGACGGTGGCTGAGAGAGGGGGCTGGCCATGGTCCTGGACTGCTACCACCAGGCTCTGCTTGAGTGCATCTCTGTCCAGAAGGGCCCGCGCTGTGCGTACCTCACCGGTGTGCAGCCCCACCGTGAAGAGCCCTGGCTCACTGGCCTTGAGCAGGCGGTAGGACAGCCAGGCATTCTGGCCTGAGTCTCTGTCCACTGCTACCACCTTGGTCACTAGGTAGCCAGGCTCTGCAGAGCGAGGTGCCAGCTCCACGCCTGTGGAACCATCAGTGGGGAGCGAGGGGTACAGGATCTCCGGCACGTTGTCATTCTGGTCTAGCACAAATATGCTCAGTGACACATTGCTGCTAAGTGGAGGGTCTCCGCTGTCACTGGCAATCACCCACAGCTGGAGGTCTCCAACCTGCTCATAGTCGAAAGAGCCCAGTGCATAGAGGACACCAGTGTCAGAGTTGATGGAAACATAGGAGGACAAAGGCATTTCCTGAAATGTGTCCTTGGCCAGAGAGTAGGTGACCTGGGCATTGCTGCCACTGTCGGGATCATGGGCAGTTACAGAGAAGATGGAGATGCCTCTGGGGTTGTTTTCTGGGATGTAGGTGGAGTAGCGGGTTTGAGGGAAGATAGGAGGGTTGTCATTGATGTCTGCCACTTTCAGGGAGATGTGGTTTTCTGTAGACAGTGGTGGGTTTCCACGGTCAATGACAGTTACTGTGATGTTATAATCTGAGATCCCTTCTCTGTCCAGGGCTCTCGTTGTCAATAAATGATAGTAATTACCAACTGACTTTTCCAATTTAAAGGGTAAGTTCCTGGGAATAGAACATGCAATCTCTCCATTCTCTCCGGAATCGCCATCATGTACACTAAACAGCGCAATTACGGTTCCAGGAAGACAGTCTTCAGGGACGGAACTGGTGAGAGAAGTGAGGATCACTTCCGGGACATTGTCATTCACGTCCTGTACTGTGACCAGCACCTTAGCGCTGGCAAGAAGAGCACCTCCATCCTGAGCTACCACTTCCATGACATAGAATCTGAATTCTTCATAATCCAGTGATTGCACAGTTGAGATTTCACCCAGGTTGGAATCAAGTTGGAAAGTCTCTGAAATTTTGTCTTCTTCATTGCGAAAAGAGTAGGTCAGTTTCCCGTTTATTCCCTCATCTGGATCCGTGGCGGTTAGTGTGAGCAGCCGAGTGCCCACAGGTATGTTCTCTGGAACACTCACTCTGTACTCCGATTGCGTGAACAGGGGCGCGTTATCGTTTGCGTCAAGGACCATGATGCGGATGTGTGTAGTACCAGAGAGTATGGGGTCTCCGCCGTCTAAAGCTGTGAGGAGGAGGTCGTGAACAGCAACTTTCTCGCGGTCTAAGGGCCGTTCCAGTACCAGCTCCGGGTATTTTTGTCCATCGGTTCCGTTTTTCTCATCCAGAGAGAAGTGCATATTGGAGCTGAGCTGGTAACTCTGGAGGGAATTCACACCCACATCCGCATCTCGAGCGAAGGGAAGCACTAACCGAGTTCCCCTAGCCGCATTTTCATTAACTTTTACTTTTACTTCCTCATCCCGGAAACGCGGGAAGTTATCATTAATATCGATTATTTCTACTTGCACTTCATAAATTTTCATTTTATTCTCAACCAAGATGTTAAAACTCACCAGGCACCGCGCGCTCTGAGCGCAGAGCTCCTCCCGGTCTATCCTGTCCGCGGTGACCAAGCTGCCGCTTCCGGGGTTTAGAGCGAAAAGCTTTGTCCTTCCTCTGGAGACGATGCGGACTCCGTGCTCCGCCAACTGCCGGGGCTCCAGCCCCAGATCCTTGGCGATGTTGCCCACGAAAGAGCCTTTGTCCAGCTCCTCTGGCACTGAATAGCGGATCTGCCCGGCCCCGGCTCCCCACAGTGTCCCCAGGAGCACGAAGAGCGGGAGCAGCTCTCTGCAGACCCAACCCCTCAGTGGTTCCGCCATTGCCTTCTCTCCGACCAGTATTCTCTTAGTTCTGGTTCCAGCCTGCTGTTTCCTTATTTCTTTAAAGCGAAGGGGCACACATTTCCTGGTTGAAATGGAAGAGGGGCGCGGATGGGCTAATTTTCTCAGCAGCTTGTCTGATCTGTGTGTGTTTAGCGCGGGAGGAGCAGAGTCCGGTCGCATCAGCAGCAGCTTCTTTCCCACTTTGGTGAACAGCGACGCTCAGAGTCCTAACCAGTTACTACACCAATTCTGTTTTTATTCCTAAATGTTTAATTATATTTTATTTCTAATAATTTTTCTGTATCCTTAATGTATTACCGTGCGACATTGTTTATATTTAATTAAGATTTAATTCTGAAATAGCAAAGGGCTTCCACAAACCCCTGAGATCAATATATTAGATTCCTTTTTACTTCTTTAGAAAAGTTTTATTCAGTGTGCCATTGAGCCTATGTCCTTTATTTGCCTCTTAGCTATATTGAGTCCTTTAATTTAGAACATTGGAGTTCTTACTTTTCTAGGTTTTGAGATTTCATCTTTTTAATAGGATATTTATGAAAACATGCTTATTTGTACATAAGAATGCCAAGGAAACAAACAGCTCTCAATACATCTTTTCAATAAGGCCTAGTGATTCATGCAAATTATATTAGCTGTCACATGCATAAAAGACAAGGGGGCCATTTTGTTACTTGTGAGGTCTTTGAGAAAGTTTCCAGATTTTCACACTAAGAATATGGCGGCTAAATTATATCAGACAGAGTTGAAGTGCGGTTAACTATGTATTATTTATATTCTCCTATTACCATATCTAAGTTGGAGTTAAACGTTTTACAGTGACAGATTCTTGGGGTAAAATAAGTATAGTGACTGTGCAGGGAAGGGCTTAGGTTCATCACTCATGCAGAAAACACATCCAGATACTTGTCAGCAAGCAGGCAGAGAGTGCTTTCGACATTGAGACAGATATTTACTGTCATCCCCTTTATATGGAAGCAGAGAAAGAAAAACCTTATGACTGAAAAAAAAGGACATTTCAGATAGTCCATTAAATGAGGGAAACAATTTTTACTTAATGACACCTTCATAGAAAAATGAAAAAAATGAAGACTTGCTAGATCAATAACTAGGAAATTCAAAAAATAAAATTTTAAGTAAACGATGTGAATATAGGTTGCAAAATTTTTCTCCATGTACAGTTTCGCACAAGAGCAATTTGTTACTATGTATCATGAGAGAAAGACTTCACACACTTATTAAACGCATTCTTAAGAGCAGACACCGCAGATCTCAAACTTTGCCTATCTTTTTTTTTTTTTTTTTTGATGAGGAAGATTTGCCCTGAGCTAACATCTGTGCTAATCTTCCTCTACTTTGTATGTGGGTCACTTCCACAGCATGGCTGGCAAGTGGTGTAGGCCCAAGCCCAGGATCCGGGCTCGTGAACCTGGGCCACCAAAGTGCAGCGCACTGAGGCCAGCCCCTTGCCATCTTTTAAAAATAGATCTGGGATCCCAAGACACTTAACTTGTACAGACATCTAGAGTGCTGGTGTTCAAGTGAATCCTACCCATGCTCTGCTGTTGACAAGCCACGACATTGAGTAAAATTCTTCCTTTCTTTGGTTCCTCATTTCCCCAAATTGATAATAGAAGAGCTCTCTTTACTCCGAAGTACTATAATTCTAAGAGGAAGTAAACTAAAATTTGAGTAATAAAGACCCTGAAGGTGAAAGGAATAGCTTAAGGTCCCAACAGTAATAAACTTTCACAGGGAAGGAATGTAAAGATGAGGAAGGAAGAGAAGTATCTTATGTAAGAAAGGCTTGTAATTATGAACAAATAAATCTCACACATCAGATAGGAAATCTACATAAAAAATTCAGTTAGATAAGATTAAGGTAATTACAGCAGAAAACTTCCTAGTTCAAACCACAAGACAATAAAAAAGAAACGGGGACTCCTACCCCAGTCAGATGATTTCTTAAGAAACATTAAAACCCAAAGTGAAAATAAGTGAATTAAATTAAAGCTCACCTTTAAAATAGTATCTGAAGCAAGTGGGACCGCAGCATCTCCATGATTTGTATTTGGTACCCCAAGGGCATCTTCGCAGAGGAGATCCCGAGGGGGAGCCATTTCCGGGGTCACATGGAGAAAATTAAACTCTGTCTTAGCTGACTGTGAGGCAACACACAGATTGTAGGAGTAGGGCAGTGTTCCCTCACTGTAATTGGAGAGAACCCCAGGTCCAGACTTGGAACTGAGACCAGGCTGAAAGCAGCCCCAGGCGTCGGGGCTGGAGGAGCGTCGCAGGCGCAGGGCAATGGCCAGAATCACCGCGAGCAGGAAGAGCACGGAGATCAAGGCCAAGGCCACCACCAGGTAAAACTGCAGCTCAGCCTGGGGCTCAGAGGGTGCAGGATGGTCGCCGAGGTCCGGCAGTGCCTCTTGTAGGCTGTCTGCGAAGACCAGGAGCAGCGTGGCGGTGGCCGAGAGGGGCGGCTGTCCCCCGTCCCGCACGGCGACCAGCAGGCGCTGGCGGGCCGCGTCCCTGTCGCCCAAAGCACGCGCCGTGCGCACCTCGCCCGTGCGCAGCCCCAGGCTGAAGAGTCCGGGCTCGCTGGCCTGCAGCACGTGGTAGGACAGCCAGGCGTTGTGTCCCGAGTCGGCGTCCACCGCCACCACCTTGGTGACCAGGTAGCCGGGCTGCGCGGCGCGCGGCACCGTGTCGAAGAGCGCCGAGCCGTCGGGCCCCAGCGCCGGGTACAGCACCCTTGGCGCGTTGTCGTTGCGGTCGCCCACCAGCACGCGCAGGCTCGCGTTGGCGCTGAGCGCGGGCGAGCCCTGGTCGCGGGCCTGCAGCGTCAGCTCGAAGGCGCGCAGCTGCTCGTGGTCGAAGGCGCGCTGCGCGAACACCACCCCGCTCTGCGCGCTCACCGACACGTAGGACGACAGCGCCCGCGGCTCCAGGTCGCTGGCCACGATGGAGTAGGAGACGCGGCCGTTGGGTCCCAGGTCGGGATCTGAGGCGCTGACTTGGGCGATGGAGGCGCCGGGCGGGTTGTTCTCGGCCACGTGGACCACGTAGGAGGCCTGGTGGAAAACTGGAGCATTGTCGTTGACATCTGCGATGTGCAGAGTGATGCTTACACTAGAGGAGAGGGGCGGCTTACCTCTGTCAGTGGCCATTATAGTGACGTTGTATTCTGGGATCTCCTCCCGGTCCAGGGCCCCCTCTGTCACTAGCTTGTAATAGTTCTTCGAGTAAGATTTCAGTAAAAACTCAGCCTTTCCTAAGATGCGGCAGTAAACTTCTCCATTTTCTCCAGAGTCTCTGTCTCTTGTTTTTATCAAGGCGATCACTGTTCCTGGTGGTGAATCCTCTGGTAACGGAGTAAACACTGAAGTCACAATCACTTCAGGTGCACAATCGTTCTCATCGAGAATTTCGACTTGGATACTGCAGTGGGCTGCTAGATCTCCAGGATCTTTTGCTTCTATACTGAGAGTGTAACTACTAGCAATTTCGAAATCAAAATCATTCTTTGTCGTGATTTTGCCTGTTCTTTTATCTAAGTTAAAAAGTTGTTTCACTTGTTCGTCCACATTATGAAAGGAGTAGGTGATCTCTGCATTGATGCCCTCATCCTGGTCAGTGGCTGTCACTCGAAGCACCGAGAAGCCTGGGGGCACGCCCTCCTGCAGGCTGACCCTGTACATGTCCTGGCTGAACACCGGGGGATTATCGTTGGCATCGGTGACTTGGATTTGGATCTCGGTGCTGCCGCTTTGGGGTGGGTCCCCACCGTCCACAGCTGTTAGGACCAGTTGATGGAAATTCTGCTCTTCTCTGTCCAGAGAATGTTTCAGAATCAACTCAGGATATTTATATCCATCTGGAGTCTGTTTCTCTGTGAGATCAAAGTGCTCATTGTCATTAAGGTAGTAACTTTGTAGTGAATTAGGACCAGCATCCGAATCCAGGGCTGGGTCTAATGGAAACGTTTTACCTGGCTTAGTGGATTCTCCAATTTTTAAATCAATCTTCCTCTGTTTGAATATCGGGGTGTTGTCATTTATATCCTGCACTATTACTGCTATATGGAAAATATTTAGTGGGTTTTCAGCGACAGTATCGAAATCCAGAATACACAGAGGCTTCTTCCCGCAAATCTGCTCTCGGTCTATTCTGTCACTCACAAGTAAGTCCCCGCTCTCAGGGTTTACAGTGAAATATTCCTTCTCCGCGCTAACCCGCAGCTTCCGGGCTGGCAAGTCCCGGACATTGAGCCCCAGATCCTTAGCGAGGTTTCCTACCACCGAGTTCTTGGCCAGTTCCTCAGGAATTGAATAGCGAATTTGGTCTGGGAGAACCCCGCGGAACAAAGACAGTAGGAAGGGCAACAATACCTGCCGCCACCGCGCCGGGCCGCTCCTCTCTGCGCTCAGCCTCATCCTCTGCCTCCCTCCACTGATGCTCTGTTCCTGGGCCGGGAGGAGGAATAAGTTCTCCGTGTATGGCTAAGTCCGGGGTAGGGTCCCTTTTCTTGCTTTTGTTTTCTGTATCCGAATCTGTACTGGCCTCCTCTGTGTGGTCGGTTTGAGCAGGAAGTTACTCCAAGAGGCTCCCAAATGCGTCGCTGATCTCTTTCTTCTTTTGACCTACAGCGACGCCCAGAGGTTTTCCCGTGAAACTGCACCAACGGCTTGTAAATGTTTTGTAAAGAACTATTTTTTATCTTTTCTTTTTTGCGTTTATAAAGGGTATTTATTTGTTTTTAAATAGGTATACATTCATTCAGTTCCAAAATCAAAAGGTAGATACGGCATATTCTATAGAGTCTTCCTCTCTGCTTTCAACAACATATTTCTCCCAGGAGAAGTGAGTGTTACATTTTTTGTGTATCATTCTGGAGATATGTTTTGTATGGTGCAACAGGTTTTTATAAATGTTCTCCCCCTTTTTAGACACAGATGGAAGTATACAATATGCCATGTTCTGCATCTTGCTTGTTTTACTTATTATATTTAGAAAATCATTTCATATCAGTACATAAAGAGGTTTCCCATTTATTTCTCATAGCCATGTAGTAGTCCATCATATGGTTATATAATAACTTATTTAACCAGAAATAATACTTTCTAAAAGAAACCCAGTGCTCAAACAAAAATATATTTTCCATGTAATATTAGCTTATAAATTATCTACTGCTCTCCTACGCATTTAAAATATGTATCACTCTGATCCTGGAATGTATTCCAAATGCCAGCATCCAAATATATTTGACAGTTTCAGGCCAACTGATATTTTCAAATTATATTTTAATGCTTCAGTATTTTAAATAATCTCTCTTCAGATATGATTTTTCTCTCAGTATTCATTTGTTATTTCCTCTTTGCTCTCTCCGTGCCCACTAAGTGTGTCAGATCACATTCTTGTTTACTCTGTGTATTGCACCACAGTTTCCCACAATGACAAAAACATTTAAAAACGAAAACTCTCCTTCTTAAGTTGAATTGAGGCATAGTCCACAATCTCTTGCTACAATTTTCAGGTGTCTAAAGGTCACTAATTTGTATAGCCCTAGACATTCATGAATTCTGAATTAACTCACAGAGCAGAATGAAAGCACAAGGAACAAAAGTGTTGCATATCCCTGGCACACAGAATATTTCCCCCTTATCAGATCACCTCAGAGCCACATCGTGACAGAGCAACCTGAGAGTAATTTGCAGGAACAAGGATGAGGCCTGCTTACTAAGCAGCATAAATCCTATCAGTTCAGAATCCAAGTTACCCAACCTTTATAAGCGGCTCCCATGATGAAAAAAGAAAGACTTTAAGTTTATTTTCCTGAGCAGTTGAGAAGGTTCTCATAACAAGGCTACAGTAGGTTATTTTAAAAATTATTAAAATTACTAATCCAACTACTTAAATATGAGTGAAATAAAATGGGAAATACTTTTGGCAATCACAGAAGTGCACCAAAGAAATCACACAAAGTCACCACTGGTACATCTCACAAACTGTGACAACAAAATATTTGAAACATACCAGTCCAGTTGAGAAGTTATCCCTGTTAAAGTTATATCTAACAGAAGATTTTCCCCAGTATTTATAAATTGCTATTGTTTAATTATAATGGAAAATACGCTTTCGATGAAAGAAAAGTAAACTTCAAGCAAAGTATGTTATGGTGTAAAAAGAAGAAATTGAAAAACACTCAGTCCAGATTCAAGAATAGCTTCATAAGACAGAATGCTTTAAGACGAATTTATACAATTCCCTTCTATTTCACAGTTTTAATCTATCTTTTCAGTAATACCTGAAAGAAAATTGCATTTAAAGAAGAAAGGTGATTAGAGGTATAAAAATTAAGAAATTGCTGCTGAAACTAAAACCAAATAAAGAGTACAAAGGATAAATAATAAATAACTTTCAGGTGCAGTAACTGTTATTGATCATTATTAAAGGATCATCAGCCCCTCCCCTTTAACACAATAAGAACACTAAAAACGAAGTGCGTTTATTTGATATATTACTATCTTATACAATTAAAGACATTTATACAGCTTTCTCCCTACGTTTCAGTGTGGCAAGGTTGACTCACCTGATGAAGATTGGGGTCTCCTTTTGTTTCAAGTAAATCCTGAGCTATCAGAAGAGGCTCGCTTTTCTCGCAGCTCTCTTGGCTGATGAGCGTGTCCGCGTAGTTGGGCTGGGGGAAGATCAGGTGACTCTTCCGCGAGTCCGCGGTATAGGAGACCTCATGGGAATAGGTCTGCAGGAAAGCGCGCACGTCGTCCACACCCACGAAGTGCGAGGCTGGCACGCCAGCCAACTCGCCTCCAGTAGCCTGGAGCAGGCGCGACATGTGCCAGCGCCGCAGTCTGAGCGCCAGCAGCACGATGACAAAGGCGAGGAAGACGCAGGAGACTGCAGCCACTGCCACCACCAGGTACAGCGTGAGGCCCGAGTCGTCAGGATCAGCTGAGGGCTTGAGGCTGCCCAGATCGGTCAGGATGTC